AAGGTGGTAAGAGAAGAAGCTGATGATGGAGAGGAGAGATGGGTAGGACAGAGATGTTGGCGGGGCTGAGCCGAAGCGAGGCAGGGAAGAGTTGGAAGGCATTCAGTGAACATGAGGCCCGATCACATTACCCTGTTAAGAGCTTTCTCTAGCTGAGGGTAGAGATTTGACCTCAGGAAGAGACAGAGGGTCTACAGAGAGCCCAGGGAGGAGGCTGGGTCATCTAGCCAGCCAGGAAAAAGGTAACAAGGTCTTGAGGTGGGGAGTGGAGCTGGGAGCATTCTGTCTCCCTGTCTATTAAAGGGAGCTGAACGAGATGGCCCTTAAAGGTTGTTCTAGGTTTGGGATTTGGTAGCCTCAGCATTTGGAATCTGGCGAGTTACCGCAACACTCACCGAGAGTGTATGGCTGGCTTTTCTTTTCTGACAGGCTCTCAGGTTTCCTCTCTTGGATCTGATCCTCACACGACTGACCAGAGTCCTGTGGTGTGAGTGTTGATGGGAAGCCCTTTCCACCCCTTTGCTGCCAGCCTCGCTCCTGTCCCCACTTCCAAGGGACAGATGGGTGGACAGCAGGAGGCAATTGGGCCTCCATGCCGACAGGGTCCCAGGGGAGGGAATTATCTGAGAGTTCACAGCCTCGCTCTGCCTTCTAGATCTTGAGTTAAAAGCCCTCAGTGTCACAGCCCCGAGGGGCAGGGATTGAAGGGTGTCAGGAGAGGCAGAAGGAGTCACTTTTCAGCCTACAGCTGCCCACAGAAGAAGGAAAACCTGGAGTACTGATGGTTCCAGGCCAGGGGCAGGAAGTCACTGGGGCTGAGGCTGAAGATCAGGCCACATCTGCCCCACTGGCTTATTTACCAATCAGAGAAGTGTTTGAAGAAACCTGGAGCTGACGTCTAAAATCCAGGAAATTTTACAGTAAAATTGAAGTTTCTGTCTTCTCTTGAATAATTAGAAAATCTGACCACACTGACAGCTTATTCCTGTGATATAACATCCGGCCAGATTTACATAGCAGCTGTCCCCAATGTAATTTTATTTTATTAACAAGCAAATGCATTCATGTGACTGCAAAAAAACATATACAGAGAAAAATAATGCATTTTCCCTTCCATCCTTATCTCCAATTCCCAGTGGCCTCTTAAAGCAATCTTTATTATGTAACTCCAAAGTTTTTTTTAACAAAATTTTATTACAGTTTTATTTATTTATTTTGTGTGCATGTGGGAGGAGGGGGCATGCGCCGTGGCTCATGTGGAGGTCAGAGGACAACTTGGAGGAGTCGTTTCCCTTCTTCCTCCCTGTGGATCCTGGGAACTGAACTCGGGTCCTCAGGCTTATCAATGGCACTTTAGCCCCTGAGCCATCTCACCAGCCCCAGGGTTTCTTTATGCTTATATAAGCATATAAAATCAAAAGTTGTAATTTCCCACTCTCACATAGATTCACCTGTCTTCTGTCCTCATTTCTCCTTCATGAGGATTTCTCCATGTCAGGACAGATCGTTCACTGCTCCAGGCCACTCCATTGTCACAAGTCCCATGGCTTATTTAGCCAGATTCACGATCGGCATTTGGGTCATGCTCAATACTTGCTTCTATAAACAGTGTAGTATCGATTATCCCATGCATAGTTTGCACACATGCAAGTATTTAGAAACTCTCAGGAACTGCCCAAGCAGAGGGTGCAGTAGGCGGGGTAGAGCCCTCATTCAGTAGCATCCTGAGGCTAAGTAAGGAAATGTGACAAAGATGATTCCTAAGAGCGATTCCCCACATAGCTTAGAGAGTCCATCATGTCTCCAGGAGCTAGGGCAAGGCTCCAGATTTACCATCGCCACTGGTTAACTTAGGTTATCTCTCTGGGCCCCCGTGTCTTTATCTGTGAAGTGAGAGAGGCTTAGGGAAGTGGATGAGATCTCAAAGGGCTTGTCTGGTTCTGACCTGCTGTATGTGGTCCACCTCCTTCCACACCAGCCAGACTCTTGGTTATACCTGGCTCAGCCCCACTATAGAATCTGCCCAAGCTGTCTCCAGCCCCACTCAGCTGCCTCTGAAACACAGTCCCCTTGTCCCTTGGTTCTACTCATGATATCTAAACTCAAGTGCCATCCTCAGAGCACAGCAGTATAAATCTCCAGGTCAGACAGAATTCCCTCTACAATATCCTTGATGGGTAAGTTAACCCTCTACCTGACCCATGCTTCAGGTCTTCCATCAAGCCCTTCGTTTCAACTGGTCTAGTCACTCAAACTCTACATAGGGCTCCTGAATGCCAATGTTGCTACTTCCTAAAACATGGCCTTGAGGCGGCATTTCCCAGTGGCTCAGTTTCTACCCCCAAAGTTGCTAGTTAGTAAATAACAACTAGTAACAATGTAAACATCTTAGAACCGCTAAGACTATACTAAGAAGTTCAGAGGCCATCACCTCTGTCTGAATAGTTCACCTTTATAAACTGGGGAGAAAAAGGTCACATGTGTCACCGAGTTTATCACTTGCTTGTTCATTAACTTGTCCGACGTTCTGGAGGGTTTTTGTAGTTGTTGCTCTTTTCCTTTTTGACACAAGGTCTTGCTGCCTAACTCAGGCTGGTCTGGTACTCACTATGAACCCCAGACTAGGTTTGGACTCACAATTCTCTTGCCTTAGCCCCCACACTTCATCTCAAGTGCTGGAATTACAGGTGCTTGTCACAATGCCTAGGTTTCATTGAACGATTATTTATTTGTTTTTCCTTTCTTTTTTAATATGTTATTACATAGAGTATAGAAGGTTATCTTCATATTTTAATAGGATCCCTACTGAGCACCACACCCAGTTCTGGACACTAAAAGGTCTCAGGGTAAAGAAAAATGGGTGACTTTCCCAAAGGCTCAGGAAGATCCCAGACAACTCTAAACAGACAAACACGAAGAGGTAAACTGCTGGTGTGTCAATGCAAAGAAGGAAAAGGCCAGGGTGCTATGGCACTCATAGCCAAAGTATTGGGGAGATGTCTCTGAGGGACAGAGAGCAGGCCACCACTGGATGTTCAGCGGGGCTCCTATGGGAAGCATTACCCCTATTTAAATTTCCCATTAATTGTCTGCAGCATAGTCCTAGCAGGAAAGCATGTGATCTTCTCTATATCTGTTATTCTACGAAGCCAAGAAAAACCAAAAGCCACAGACTCATGAAAGGACTGTGGGTCTCGAACCCAGGTTTTCTGGCATCAGAAAACAGACCCTACAGCCTGACTTCTGCTGCTGCAGATTTGATTAAACCCTTTATGGGCTGCATGGAGATTTCCATTTAGCTTGGCCCAAAGGTGGGATCCTATCCAAGGCCCATCCAAGCACCTGTGAAGGCGGTGATACAGACCACTAAGAACTGACAGGGGGGTGGCCGGAGCGGGTCTCACTCTTCTGACCCCACCTAAGGTTCTGTGTATTCGACTGGCTTCTAGGTCTGGGGTTGTAGGAGACAAACAGGCAGAGATGAATCTTCCTAATTCAGACCTTCCAGCCTCCCGTCCATCTAAATGTGGGCTGCTGGCTTGGAATCCAGCCTTGAAAACTCCCTTGGCCCCTAACACTTCCCCTCTGCTTTTAGCTTTAGGCAACAGCTGGTACCCCAACCTCCCAAGCATCACTGAGACCAAAACAGTCCCTGGACACGAAAGGGAAGCCAGGCTTCAGGGCAGCAGATGGCGGCTCCACCCAGCCCAGGGCAGCTGTCTCCTCTCTCTTCCCTGTCACTCTGAGGCAGGGTGGTCCTTCCACCTCGTTTCCTCCCCTCCCCCCTTCATGCCCTTGAGCTTTCAAAGCCTGTTCAAGAGCCACATTTGAATTCGTTTCTAGCACTTACTATGTAATTCTGAGCCACTGAATGAATTTCTTCAACTCTGTTTCCTCATCTATAAAATGGGTGGGTGACTATATAAACCACATAGATTGTGAGACTAAAATGATGAGTGATTCCACATTTCCGAGAATAATGACAAAGAAACAGTTCCAGCGTTTGATAAACAATGTCCTAGGACATCTGACCCAAGCCAAGGTTGGTGGTGGCATGGAAGTGCCCAGGCACATGAGGGACCCCCCACCTCCTCTCACAGACCATGTTTATGTCTCTCTGGTCTCTCCAGTTCCAGGCTGCTGCTTTGTGATCCTTGCTCTACTCTGGGTACCAAGTCTTCTTGCTAAGTCCTGCCCTAGCTACATAAGAATGTCCTCAGCTGACACTCTGCAGTGGGTGCCCTGATTGCCACCTCTGGCTTTTCAGGGTCCTCCTAGCCATCAGAAATCGCCAGTTCTTTCTTTCTTCACCTGTACCCTCATCCGGTCATCCTAGAAAATGTGGCCTTCAGTAGTGGTGGGGTAGCAGTTTGCACTTGCTCTTTCCTCCCCCAGGGGTTCCCTCCCACCCCTATACTCTCTGCCTTCCCTAACCGGGCTAGTGGCCAGATGAACGCGGTTCCTGAAAGAAGGAAGAGGGAGCAAGAAACCGCAACTCAGAACTGCAGTTTCTCAGCTTGAAAAAGACAATGAAAAAAGAGACCTCTCAAGATCAAAGGAGGGGATGGAACAATAAGTGAACACGGGGGAACTAGGAAGTGGCGTTGGAACGGAGTGACTGCTAAAGGGTTACGGCAGGTACCCAAGCAGCTGCTCCCACCCCTTTTTGTTCGCAGACCCTGGCCTTTCACCCTCCTTGGGGCATTGTAAGACCCAAATCACCGGAGGTACCGCAGGAGATCAATGGAAGAGGAGAGGATAGGGCGGGAGCAGTCAAAGAGAAGTAGGGTCCGGGGGGGCGGAGGCCAGAGGCAGAATGCATGTGGTTGGGGCCCACGCCTCCGAGGAAGCCATGCAAGGGTGACCCGGGATGCTCTCCCCGCCCCGGGCCCCCTCCCTTCCCAGGGGGCGGCCCACATCCAGGCCGGAGTCCGGGTGGGGCGGCGCCGGCAAGGATGAATAATTGAGGTAGAGGGGAGGAGGAAGAGGAGCGGCGGAGGAAGAGCGGGAGGCGGGAGCCGCCCGCGCAGGGTCCTCCCCACTCCGCACCCCACCCGCTCCGCCGCCCGGAAGTCGCTCCCCGCCTCCTGCTCCGCCAACATGGCCGCGAAGTCGGATGGAGCGGCGGCCGCGGCCGGCCCGGGGCCCGAGGGGCCGGCGGGAGCAGCCCGGGGCGGGGCAGGAGGGCGCGGGGAGGTAGCGGCGGAGATCGCGGGCCCGGGCCCGGCGGCGGCGGGGGGCCCGGGGCCGCGCTACGAGCTGCGGGACTGCTGCTGGGTGCTGTGCGCGCTGCTCGTGTTCTTCTCCGACGGCGCCACCGACCTGTGGCTGGCGGCCTCCTACTACCTGCAGGGTCAGAACACCTACTTCGGCCTCACCTTGCTCTTCGTGCTTCTGCCCTCGCTGGTGGTGCAGCTTCTCAGCTTCCGCTGGTTCGTCTACGACTACTCGGAGCCCGCGGGGACCCCGGGACCCGCCGTCAGCACCAAGGACAGCGACACCGGCGGAGCCGCCATCAGCACCAAGGACAGCGCTGTCGCCTTCAGGACCAAAGAAGGCAGCCCGGAGCTGGTCCCCCGGCCCGTGCAGTCCTCGGCCAGCACCTACCGCCGCCGCTGCTGCCGCCTCTGCGTCTGGCTGTTGCAGACCCTCGTTCACCTCCTGCAGCTCGGCCAGGTCTGGAGGTAGGAAAAGAGCAGGTGAAGGAAGCTTGAGTCCTGGAGTGGAATGCTGCCCCAGATCTGCTCTGGCCTTTCTAGCCCGCCCTGCTCCTGTCCTGACCCTCACCCCGACCCACTCTGCTTCCTTCGCAGCTCTGCTTCCTTCTCAGTCAGCTCCTCGCCTCTGCCAAACTCTGTTGGACACCAGATCCATAGCTTTGATCTGGCTAATAGGGCAAGAAGGGGCCAGGGACCCTTAGTGATGCGTGAGCAAGGAGGAGTTGGGTGGGGAGCATGGGGACAAGTGTCATGCTTGGAACAGGGCATAGGGATCCTTCCAGTCCTGACCCCTCCTCCATGTCCAGGTACCAAGCCTAGACTTGTGGAAATATTCACAAGTCTTTTCCAGCTCTCAGAGGCACTCAGTTCAGAATTGCAGCCCACCCCCAACAACCTGGGAGAGGCAGAATGTGAGGCAGCTAAATGACTATCCAGTCTAAACTTCCTGGTTTTGTTGAGAAAGGGTGTGGTGAATCCAGTCCATCACTCTTTGGCTCCTACTTCCTAAGGAGTTCCAGAGAGCCCCACCCCACCCCCAACAAAAGGGGCCAAGGAGATTTGGAATCTTGATTCTGACACTAGCAAGCTACTGGATGCCCCTTAGTCCTCAGACCGGAAAACAACGCTGGGGCTCCATTCAAACTGTTCACTTCCAGACTTCTTCCTTTGCCAGCAAGTAGGGTGCCTGCTGGGCTGAGTTAATTGGAGAGGGGGGAAATTCTAGACCACAGCTCCTCTGGAATCAGAATTACTCTAGTTCCTTGGGCTGTTCCCTGCCGTGACAAAATGAATTTGCTTACTGTGTGATCTTAGGCACACCTCCTCCTCCTCCCTCCAGGTCTGTTTCCTCACCTGTGAAGTGAGAGGAAATCTCTACTCTTCCCGTCTCACTGACGACTTACTCTCTACCCTTCTCATCTCACACTGACTTACTCTCTACCCTTCCTGTCATCTCACTGACTTACTGTTACAGTTTTTTAACCTGTTGGGATGACTAGGCAAGAGGAGGTTTGTGTGAGGACTCTGCAGATTGGAACCTATTTGGGGATGTAAGGAATTATCATAACAGATGTGTGGAGAGCATGGGGAAAGTCCCTCTACAGACCTACAGGATGGTTATTTACTCTGTACACTAAATTTACTTTTCACTGTATTCTGCCTGACTCAGAAGATACGGTTGGACTGAGCACTGGCAACTGGACCCCTGGTGTCTGGCCCAACTGCTCACTTGTCCTGCGTCACCCTTGCTATGTTGTCGATCCTCCTCTCCCTGCCTTAGTTTCCCCATCTTCGTCTGACAAGATGATGAGCATATTCTACTTTGCTTGCTCTGGAGTCAGGGAAGGGGGAAACACTATCCGTAGTCTTATTATTATTATTAGCTTGACACACAAAAATATTCATGTCTACATCCAGGAACTAATCTGCATTTATCATTCTGTGCCCAAGTGGACAGATGGTGGGTTATTTTTAGATTCTGAAATGGTAACTTCCTATTCTGGGTAGCCAAAGCTTGGTCCCCCTTTCCCTTCAGCCTAAAGTGGGCCAGCTGCCCCACGACTCACAGGCTACCCTCCTCCTCCCCATTCAGAATCCACTTACATGATGCTAATAGGAATCTTCTTTCTTAAACAGAAACCGAGTTTCCCTCAAATATGGGGGGGGGGAATGACCATAGATGGGCATCTTGGGGGCTGGCTGGAAATGGCTAACATCCACTGGACTCTGTGGTTCTGAGAGTGAAAGAACTCTACCTACTATTTGCACTGTTCTACACTGGAAAGGTGAGAGTTGGGATGAGATGACTAGAGAGGGAACAGTCAGATGAGCGTGGGGAAACCCAGCCTATGGAAGTGGTTTGTGTCCATAGTATATGGTATTTGAAAAACTCAGAATCTCTCCTGGAAAAAAAAAAAGAATTTGGCTGTAGTGGTATCAGGTCTGTAAGCATTTTAGACAGGGTTTGCGTGGCCCTAGTTTGTGAATTCTTCCTCTTGGTTGCATTTCTTTTAACCATTCACTTAGGCACTCAAACCCTAATTTACACTGCCATTGCAATTATTTTATTAAGCACTCACTTTCTGCCAAGCCCACTGGTTGCCTTTTTTACCTTCCTTCTCTCCTGTGTCTTTTCTAATAATTCTGTCATGTGGTTAGTATTATAATTTCCACTTGGCGGATGAGGGAACGGAGGCTGAGAGAGGGGGGCACCCTTGCCCAAGGTCACACAGTGAGCAATTGGAAGCTTTGGAACTCAAGAGTCTGCATCTTCAAAAACCAAGTTCAATTCATCCACCTTGCAATTCTGGCACCAAAGTGTCCCCCAAAGCTTGAAGAATTATGAGTCTGAGATTGTGAGATTGCATGATGACAGAAAGTCCAGCTTCTGGTGCGTGGAGATAAGAATGTGAAAAGAGGGGGAGGCACTGGAACCCTGTGGGTAACGATGAGGAAACTGTGGATTGTGGGAAAATGCTGGATTTGGGGAGGCTGTGTTTTCAGAGGATTTATGTTTTCATATTGGTTTGAAAGTGACCTTGAGTCAGGCTCTTCCATTTCTGAGCCTCAGTTTCCCTGTGTGCGAAATGATATGATTAGATGCAGTGATCCTAAGATATGATATCTTTCTCATGCCCCATGACGATGTGGTACAGTGCCATACGACCACCTGCTGCCCAGAACAGTTTAAGGTCATCAAGGTCAATTTGGGGTCCTCCCCCAATACCCCTTCTATATGTAGGTTACAATTCTGTCTCCTCTGCCTCCTAATACGCCTGCCCTTTAGAGAGGCCCTGAAATGAGTTGGTCACCTGCTGGGTACTTCCCTGCATAGAATAGAAATCACCTAAAGAAAGAAGTGAGGCTGGGGTCTAACAGAGAGCTGGAAAGCAATTACTGACAGCTTGACTGTTCACTAAATTCAGACTCTGCAGTCAATTAGGAGAGATCTCATAGAAATGGCTACTGGGGCTGAGAAGTGCACACCAGGCCACATTAACCAGGCTACAGTTCTGACTCTGGGTCTGTTGCCACTGAATACTCTAGACCCTTGTCCTACAAGCTTTGGATTCTTAAACATCCAGAGAAGGTAGAGAGAAGCCATCCAGTTTGGCATGCCTGGAAATTAAGTGGTGTTGGCACAACGTTTTCCTGCATGAGCTGTCCCTGCAGATGTTTTGAGTGGTGAGGCTGGGATGGCAAGGAGGGAACTGCGTACCTGAGCTCTTCAGATTGAAATCTGGGAGACTGTAGGTTATTCTGTTCCCAATCCCGTACCCTAGTTCTGAAGTTCAATCATAAAGATAATTTCAACTTTTCAGGCCTGTAGAGTGCCTTCAAAGGCCAGGAGGATCACATAGACATGGATGCATGGAGTGTCAGACAAGGGGGTGTCTGACAAATTATGGGAAACAAGTGTCCTAGACACGACAAAGGTACCACCTGGTCCCTCTAATGGTGCCATGAGAAATCATGGATCTAATATTGCCAGGTCTTGATTTCTCAAGGGAAATGGGAATTAGGAAATTGGGAAGTCAACTACTAAGATGATTTTTTTTTAAAGAAAAAAATAGTTTCAGTGAGGGCCAATGAAACGGCTCAGTGGGTAATGGTGCCTGCTACCAAGTCTGTCTGACATTCTGAGTTCACCCTCCAGGACCCCACGGCAGAAAGAGAAACTGACCCCCAAAAGTTGTTCGCTGACCTCTACACCTGTGCAGTGGCACGGGTACAGGTACAGGTACACACACACACACACACACACACAGAGAGAGAGAGAGAGAGAGAGAGAGAGAGAGAGAGAGAGAGAGAGAGAGAGAGAGAGAAATGAAAAAGTGGTATCAGTCAAAAGAAATTTTGGAGTGGGGGGGGGTGTCTTCTTTACATAACCCCAGGCAAACATTTCCCAAGAGATAAAGTCCTTTCACACAGATGTTATTAGTTGAAACGTAAAAGGAGGGAGCTCATAGACACTGCACACCTACCATGTTGCAGCAGGGGCTATGCGGAATGTTCCAGACATCTTGCTTGCATTAAAACCCTCCCTCAGTGGTGACTGATACATTCATTCATCCGACAAGGAAGCAAAACCCAGAGAAGTCAAGGAACTTGGCTGAGGTCACAGGAGTGAGGGGGAGGGAAGGTGCCTACCCCTTTGTCTAGTTCCCAAACCCAGCCCCATCCCTATCATGACACACTGGGTGTTAAGAGAATCATAGGGAAATGCCTTGAGGCAGCAGCAGACTGAGTTCCGGGGAGGAGAGCAAACAGATCCCTTGGTGGGGCATGACTCTGGCCATGGGCTGGACACCAGGCTGTCCTTATCCACCTCCCACCCCAGCCCTCTGAGCGGTTAAGCCACTGAAGGCTGTTAAGCCAATTAAAGTCCCAACTCTGCCTCCTCTGACCCTGTGGGCAGCAAAGCAGTAAGCCATGAATCCCGCTCTCCCTAATCTTGAACTCATGGGCCCCGGCTTTACCCAGATAAGCATGGCTTCCTAAGCCAATTAGTGTGAGGAGAACTGGCATGGGATTCCTCCCAGCTGTCAGAGTCTGAGCACCTTGAGGTGGGGAGGAAGGGAGGTGGCGGTGAGCTTCTAGGTCCCTCTAACAGCTCACCGAGTCCAGCTGTTCTGTTTCTGCCTGTGTGTGCCAGTGAGCCATACACTCCAGAGGGCTTCTGCAGTGAGTCAGTGCTGCTGTGAAATCAGGCTCTGGGTTCCCCTCTGGGAAGCTGGATCATTGGTGTAATGTGAAGAGCATGAACTCTGGATTCAGGGTCTGTCTCCACTCAGATCCTGCATCCACCACCTTGTCGAATCACATAGTCTCCATCCCTTCGAAAGTAGAGACTAACACTGTACCTGTCTGCTTCTTGTGTTGTTTTGTGTCATGTACCGAGGACTTAGCAAGGGCTAGTCCCACTAGTTAAGTATTCAAACCCTGGTAGCAGAGTAGGTGAGATG